GCAACGGCGCGATCCTGTTCGCGCCGGGCCCGGACGCCGGCGCGGACGCGTCGGCGCGGTGCGGCTGGTAGTTGGCGGCCGGCGCCGGCGCGGCGGGCGCGCCGTTGGGCGCGCCGCCGGGCGAGGGGGAGAGGGTGGAGGAGGCGGACATGCGGCGCGGCGGGGGCGTGCGCGCGGGCGCGAAGTGGCGGCGCGTGGCGGGCGAAGCGCGGAGGACGCACGCGGAGAGGGCGCGGTGAGGGGGCACGGGGCGCAGGGCGGACGGCGGGACGAAGGCGCGCGGGAGGATGCGCGAGAGAGTTGCGATTGAGGGCATTGCGGCGTGGGGCGCGGGGTTTGGTGGGGGAGCGGATGGTGGCTCTCGCGGTAGCGCGGGGGGCCATCGAGGATGCGAGCGAGGCGGTGGCGAGAGGGCTGGGGGAAGGTTGAATTCAAGAGCAATGAGAGGGAGGGGTCGGGAGGGGCGTCTGTGCATACACGTGGCGTGCAGCGGGAGAGGAGGTTGAGAGTACGTTAGACCGCACATGGTGGCTACAGTATCGGGGTCGAGGGGGACATTACAGTGTCAACTGAAGGCGAGGTGCACTCTTTTAGTCCATGCATACACGTGGCGCAAAGTGCCTCCGGACCTTGCGAGAGGCCGTTCAGTCCGTCTGTGGTTCCATCCAGAGACAAGCAAGTAAGGCACACGTAAAATAAGGCACAGCATTACAGCACCTCACTCACTTGAACAATAAAGTCACCGCCGTCCCCCGCTCCCCAGAGGATCGGGGGTATCGGTGTTCCTAGAACCACACCGTCAGACCGCACATCGCGCCCAGCTGTCGACAATTTATGATTTACGGTATCGGTTGTGAGAAATACCTCGTGACGAATGGGGGGAGTATAATAAATTTAGGCGACGCTGAAATGTATTCGTTGTCAGACCGCACAGGACAGTCTGTCCCGCAGGGAACAGACTTATAACGAACGAGCGACGACGAGTAAACGAGGAGTCATCGGTCTCCTGTTCACACAGGTTATGGCACCTTCCGCTCCCTTGCATAACTCCACCTTCCCCTCATCGCCAATCAGCAACACAACCCACAACGACACGAACAAACCGATCCCTCCCCCTGCAGAGAAGCCCCAGGCTAAATCTCACTCCCCCTCTTACATACATACCCCCACAATCTCATCCAACACAGAGAACCAACACGACAAACATCACGACAAATCACCAGACAAACGACACAACAAATCCCACACCGACAACCAATACGACACACCTCAAGACAATTCACAGGACAAACGACACAACACATCACACAACATACACGACGACAAACACCGCAACACAAATACAAGACATCAACGCAAACCAAGACATATTCACCATGAACAAACGACCTTACATTCCATGCCTAGATCCCACGAATTACAGACCATGGATCGTCGCTACACGAGCGGCAGCACACAATATCAACGCCATCGACCACATAACAAGCAACCCCAACCCCCCACAACACGACACCGACCTTGCAACATTCAAAAGAACAAAAACTACCTACTCGGCAAGTTAATCACGTCAATCCCCCCTCAGATCGCCAACTTGATCCTCACCCCCACTGGCGATCCAACTCCTTACGATCTAATTCAGGCTATCACGTCCCACCTGGACACGACCAACGCTTCAGACCACAAATATCTGACGCAGCTCGCTGAACAAGCACAATACCTCCCTGATATGACCCTAGAGCAGTACATCTCTGCCCACGAACAAATCCGAACGAAAATGATCGCCGCACGGTACCCAGAGATTTCAGACCCCAAAACCACCGTCGAATTCCTCATCGACTGGCTGCGTTTCAACCCGTCCACCGCCACCATCGGTAGTCATCTCATAGCTCTAGATCCTAAAGACATGAAAGACTTCATACACAAATTCAACCGTTTGACCATGTACAAGCAACCGACGCAACTTCGACCGTCACACATGCACGGCGACGCAGGAGGCCCAAATTCAATCAGAATTCAGCACCGGCCCCACAATGGCGCAACCGCACCCCACACCGGTACCTCCCCGTCCCAAAAAATCCATGCCGCTTCCACATGTCCCTCGGCGTCTCGCGCCCCAGACACAAGGACATCGCATGCAACCACCCCGCACACCCCCGTCACCGTACACGACAACAGTCACGATCACAGCTACCCCACACAGAACGTGCCGCTCACAGTCACTTTGACTACGCCCACGACAACGGAACGGCCATGGACGACACGGCAAGCGAAGCCCTCGATGACAACTGTACGTACATCCTCGATTCGGGGGCACATCTTTCTCCTATCGCAAACCTCTCCACCGATCACCACCCACGGCCGATCAATCACAACACAAAAACTGCCACTAGCCAGATCGTGCAATGCACTCACGCCGGGCAGACGACGATCAAGACGAATAAGGAACACACGCTCAAGGTTCCAGCCGTGGTATCCCCGGACATCACAAGCAACCTCCTACCCGTCCGATCCATAGCACAAACCCACGGCAACATCCTCTTCACGCCAAGCGCCGCGTACCTCTTCGACAAGCACTCCCGAGGAAAAATCATCGGCACAGCCCCATGGAACCCCACCATCAAGGCATATGCATGGACGACAACCCCGCACCTCCAATCCAGAGGAGCGCGCACGATCCCCGCCCCGCGACGCAATCCGAAACCCCACACGCCACAGCCAATCCCCCGCCATCCAACCCCAGCCAATCCAACCCACACCACACCACCCCTCACCACAAGTAGAGCACTACCCCCCATTACCACACAACGGACATCAAATACACCTTTATTCATACGCTCAACGCCAGCACCACACATCCCACCGATCCCCTGTAAGGCCACGGACCAAATCTTACACCACTGGCACCTGCGACTGAACCACGCACCCCTACGTACAATCCAAACTATCGCCAAATCGAGAACGATACACGGCCTTCCACCATCCCTCGCCTCAACACGCAGCCCACTGTCATGCTCCGCATGCGCACACGCAAAGCAGCGACCGGCACGCCATGCCCCCACTCAACATCACTACAGTACAGGTGAATACCTAAGCTCCGATACATGCGGCCCCATCCACCCTCGATCCAACCACGGCAATCACCACTTCCTCACGTACTCATATCTTCTGCGTCCAGCAAATCGACAGTTGCGAACGTGAAAAGAGCGCCAAAGCTCCTACAAAATTTCGCTGGTGTTCACGACGCTCCCGATCAACTTGTTGTCGATCCTCAATCTTCGAAACTAGTTCTGAACCTCATTTCCCAGTACTGCAAATTCGGAACGCCTCTTGCACTCCGGGATGATGCCATGGGATCTATCGTCCAAGGTCTCAGGATTGTTTATTCAGAACACGGCCACACAGGAAACTGGACTATCAACTATACAGCCAACCAAGCGCATGGCAATCCGTTGAACGGAAATCCAGACATTAGCTCTCTGCGCCGTGCGCATAGAGTTAATTTGGCCAGATTGGGGAACGTTGCCTTAAAAGCACGCCCTGTAACTGCAGCCATAATTTGTGATCATGCAGAAGGGTTCTGGTTTGCTTTCCCGGAAACAAAAAGCAGTAATCATGTCAGGGATCACCAACTGCACAAAATCTTAGTTCTCGGTATTCATGTCGGACTGAGATTCGACGAGGTCGGCAAAATCAAGGTTGAGCACATTTCAGTCACTTCTACAGATGTTGTTCTTACGATTACCGAAGCAATTAAGAACTCTACTGTACAACGAAACTACACACTAGAAGAGTGGCCTGGAAATAGTGTTTTACGACATTCACTTTACATGGATCCGTTTGTCGCACTTTTCACCTGGCTAGGGATTCGGGGACCGGCTCCAGGGCCGTTGTTTTGCGATATCTCAGAAACAAAGGCTGGTCTTAAGCTAATGACGTCCAGATCACTAACTTCCGTGAAGTTTGTAACATTTTTCAGGGATAGGTTGGCTCGAATTGGGATTGGGCCTGCAGACTTGGTCATGTACTCAGAGCACTCAATTAAGCGTGAATCGGTACAACTCTATCTCTCACTCGGCC